AGTTGCCTTCTCAGTTGTTTGTCTTACCTGGGAGCTTCTGTAGTGAATTTTGTGTACCCTGCAAATATATCAGCCAGTAGCATCCTCAACTATTCTGAAATTGACTTCAGGCTACCAGCCTGGTGCAATTTTCCATGTCTAGAGAAACAGAAAAGTAAACAAGGTTTATTTATTTTCAGATCTCCAACCACTATGAAAAGTAACATTAGTTTAGCACTTATGGACATTATACTGGGCCATTTAAATCACTAAAGCACACTTACATCTATCCATGTATATATATGACTCCATCTAGATATTGGATTCCTTCTTTCATTTTGTATGTTTTGTTAATCCCTTCCAGGCACTCTGGATAGTTATGGAATAATCCTACGTCTAATCAAACCTTCACATACCAGCAGTGCAAAACGATATAGATTAATTCATGAAGAGCAAATAACCAAATCAATCAGAACTGCATCAGGCTTAAATATTCAATCCATGATCCAGTATCAGATTAACATGCTTTGAAATTCAGTCATAAATGTAATATGCTGTTTTAAAGTACTGTGTAGTGCAAGGGCCCTGGGTGTTCTTTTAATTGCATCGATCATTCTGGTCCAAATTTCAGAACGAAATGTTTAAGGAGTTTCAGCCTCTGCTGGTATTTGAATAGAGAAGAATCACCATATTCAACTGACTAGGCTCTTTGGGTGAATCTGATATCTTCTATTAGACCAACTTAAATAGTTAGAAAACCATTTTTAAACAAGCTTTTGGGTTCAAAAACCCTTTGTCAGGCTAAGGAAGTTTCTGCAGTTGGTGTGTGCTTTTCCTGGATGGCATGGCAAGTAAAGAAGCCAGAGGCTGGGCTGGTATGCATACAAGATAGGCAGTCAGTGAAGATGTAGATTGAGGATGGGTGAGAGACAGGATGGGGGGTGGGGCGGAGAGAGAAGGGGAATGAATAGTGGAGAAGTATCTGGGGAGTCAGATGTCAGGCAGGTTATAATGTGTCATAAATCCAATGTCTATATTTAGTCCATGATTTTTAGTATCCAGGAGGTTGATGAAGTGGAGTTCATAGGCTCGTCTCTGGGAAGTGTTTTGTAAGTTTCCTTTGAGGATCAGGATCTTGTATGCATACCAACCCAGCCTCTGGCTTCTTTACATTTCATTCCATCCAGGAAGAGCACACACCAACTGCTGAAACTTCCTCAGCCTGATGAAGGGTTTTTGAACCCAAAAACTTGTTTAAAAATTGTTTTCCAATGATTTAAGTTGGTCTAAAAAAAGATATCAGATTCACCCAAAGAACCTTGTCTGCTTATGTCCTTAGACCAACACAGCTACAACCTACACCCCCATATTCAACTGAGTAACATAAAACAGTATGGATCATTATCACTGATGGGAGTTAACCCACATCTCCCTACGATGATATTTGCTATAACAAAGAATTGTAAGAATGGGGAAAAGATAAAAAGTAGGGAAGCAGATGGAAAATAAAGACATTACATATCTTTTTGCCCCATACATGAGGAAAAAAACCCTACACCTCCCTCCAAATGCATCTGTAGAAAGTATAGTGAAAGAGGTATTATTAACATAATGGGGGAAAATGCCATAAAAAGTGTTATCATAACAAAATCACATTGGACTATCAGGACCTCATGGTCATTTTCCTTGGTATCTTTGTTCAAAATCAAATGCAAATAGCCCTTCATGTTATTTTCTTTGCTAGTGATTTCTAATTTATTGTTCACTAGTTCCTTCAATCTCACTGGCCAGATGGCTTGCTGCCACTTCAGAATTTTCACAAGATGCTGTATACATTCCCATTGAAGTCAGTAGAATAAATTTCATTAACTTTCACAAAAATGGGATCAAGCTCTTGCTGCTTTTTGTTAGTTTTCTTTTTAACAGACGACTAAAAAGTCTAGGTGTGCTCAATTTAAGGGCCAGCATACAGCTACATAATTAAAGAACCAGAAGAACTTTAGAAAGCAGTTATATTATTTTTGTTCTAAGTGAAATATCATCTCAATTTTGCAGCAGTCAAAGGCCAGATGGCAGCCTGGGTGCTCTTTCTCTTGAAACAGCCCACTATATAGTCAGTCACAGTATTAGACCTTATGTTTTTCATTGTTCAGTTCTCTCCAGATCTGTTGGGAGCAGTTGATCAGCCAAGCAGACAGTGTAGTTGGTCTCTGAATGTATCCTATTTGTTACATTGTAAAGTGGGTTCCCTTTATGCAAATTTGAGTTATGAGCCATTTTCCAGGAACACATGTACAACATAAAGTGAGGGAAAACTGGGTCACTTTCCACTTGCTTGATGAGGGTGACCCATTTCTACCACTTTTACAAGACAATTTCGGTACTCAAAAACAACACACAGTACACACAAATACAGGGTGGTGGTGAATGTTACCATAATGGGGATGGCAATTATAGAAACATGTGTTGCAGACAACAGCAGAGGAGCACAGATCCACACAGGAGACTATATTTTGGTGTGCGTCACTCCCACAATGCACTGCACAAAGCAGCTGACTGTGGGCTTCCACCACACTGATCGCAGAGTGAATTTACCTCACATACAACAATGTTTTGGTATAAGAAGTGTCATTGCATAACAGCAAATTCACACATACAGGACCCACATAAAGCAAAGGAAACCTGCAGAGGGGAAGCATGCACACAGTACAACTGGTCAACTTCCTGCACTCCCACTAACTACCTAGTGGCAGTTGCTGGACAGGGAAAGGTGGGAGAGGATAGGCAGAAGGCAGCCCATCTACATGGTAGCCCATGCTGATGTGAGACTGGTGCCATTGCCTTTGGGTTGGGGAGGGTAGGTGGCTATAGGTGCCTGCTGCCTTGCTTTTATAGGGTTCCTGTAGGGTGCGACTGCATACCCCTCCACAGTAGTAGCCACCTTGTCCATGACAGATAGGAGGGTCCTGAGAACCAATTCCTAGGTATTTCTATAAACTTATCACCAGTCCCTGCACCAGTTCCAGGAGCTGCTGGTCCTACATTGAAAAAGCCTGCTAAAAAGTTTTTAGCAGCTCCTATTAGTCCTGCCAGTACTTGCTGGTAGCAAGTCAAATCTCAGCAGCAGTGGCTCAGCATGTAGAAGACTCAGAGAGGTTCCCCAACATTTCAACTCAGCAATCCACTGATTTATTTTGCTATAGGACATCCTCTGAGCAGGAACGTCCCTTCATGGCCTTGGAGCAGCATCAGCACTGGAGGCTCCCAAGTTCCCCAATGCCAGGAGAATTCTGAGGAGTGAAGAATGCAGAAATGGCCTTGAGATTGTTTCCAAAGTTAACAGATAAAGTGTGTGAATTCTGAATTCCCGCTCAAATACTGACAGATATCCAAGCAGCAAGGCATTGATGGCAGAGCAAACCTTGATATTGTTGCAAACATCTAAGATGCCTTTGCAGGTGAGAGGAAGGGAGGAGGGGGATAGGGATGCAGGGTGGCAAGGGGCTACATTTTATTATTCTCTTTCC